TTAAACTTACTGAAAAGACTTTAGGCATTTTGATGCAGGATCAGTAGAAATAAATGGGCTAAATTTACTTCCTGCTCTCCATCTGCATTGCGTGACGTCGGTGCTGCGTCATCTGAAACACGGCAAGGGAGAGCCTGTAGACCAGGTCTGTGTTTTACCTGGTAGTGATTTGGCCAGAAAGTGGATACAGCAAGCTCCACCCCTTTCCAGATGTGGTAGGCGGGGCCAGAAGAGTTAATGACAGGAACTCCCAGAGGGCTGTTGTTCTCTGTAGATAAAAGAGACACACCTGAGAGCTCCACCCACACATCCATAGCCCCGCCCACAGACAGCCCCGCCCTACGTACCTGTGACGTAGACGTTGAGTGTGGCGGGCGCGGCCCCCTCGCGGCCCCCCGCCTGGTAGAACTGGAAGCTGAGGCAGTGCGTGTCGTTCTCACGGAGCGGCGGCAGCAGCAGCTGGGCGCGCTGGCCACTGTAGCGACCCGATGTGTTCACAAACAGGAAGGAAGAACCTGGAGGCCACCATAAAATAACAAAATAAAAGCCCAGGTTCCACCCGGAGCCTCCTGGGTTAACCAGGCAGCTGCTAAACATCACAGGCTAGTTTTCACTGTCAAAATAAAAGTTATAGCCAGCACAAAACTTTCAGATTAAAAGCCTGATCTACAAAAAGATGATGGCAAATAAAAGCAGAAAATCAATAATTCATCTATAGCACCGAGACAAACTGCTGGTTTAATTGGAAGACTTCAGAATAAAAGCGTCTGGTGCCTGTGAGTGTGCACGTGCACGTGCACGCCCTCATTAGTGTGCACTGACGCTGCCAACCCGACTACAGCTGTCAGTCAGACGCTTCGCCTCTGCAGGTCGCTTTGCAAAGTTTCTGTGAAATTTAAATCATTCCCACTTTGTAAACTTGCTGTGTGGGTTGAAGGGCGTCTCCATGGCAACCGGAGGAGAGAGCGGCCTGCTGCACGAAGACGGCTCTGGGGCTGTCAGTCCTGTTGCTCCGGAGACGAATCTCACCTGGCCAGACGAGGTTGTGATCTGATCAGTCCAACAGATTAAAGACTGGACCCGTCCGGAGCCAGAACCAGAACGTCTATGGATATTATATTGTTGTTTTGTTCCCTATTTTGTTGTTGATTTGCAGTAAAATTAATTTGGCCTTCGGACTGAATAAATCTGAATCTATTTTTAGTAAACATATTAATAAACTTGTTAATTAACCGATTCACTGTCATATGACACAGACTGGCGACCTGTTCAGGTGACCCCGCCTCTCGCCCGGAACGTTAGCTGGACAGGCACCAGCACCTCCCGACCCACTAAGGACAAGGGTGTTAGAAAATGGATGGATGGACAAGAACTGTTGGTGGGCGGGGTTAAACCTCCAGTGTTGATGGGCGGGGTTAAACATCCAGTGTTGGTGGGCGGGGCTAAGCCTCCCATGTTGGTGGGCGGGGCTAAGCCTCCCATGTTGGTGGGCGGAGTTAAACCTCCAGTGTTGGTGGG